GGTGCCATATGAGAAGATGTACCACCCTGCGTTCACACAGGAATTGGAAATCCGGCTTTGTAGCCAATTGCTACATTAATGATCCAGCAATATCCGCTAGAATCCAGTGGAATCCTTCCAGTACTACTGCTAGCACTCCGTCTAGTTTTCCATCCGGTAGTACTGCTACTAGAGGCAGATCTAGTTGTTCCATTAGCTCTTCCTCCAGTTCTGCTGCTAGTTCCCCGGCTAGTTTTCCGTTAAGTAGAACTCCTACCAGTTCCAATGCAAGTAGTCCGACTAGTTATTCTACTTGTGATTCTGGGCTAGCACTCCGTCTAGCCATTTATCAAGTAGAATTTATTCTAGTGTTCCGACTAGCACTTCTTCTAGTCATTCAATCCCAACATCGAATGCTCAAAACCTCCCATCCAGACAACAGCGTTACAGGCATGTTTTCCATTCGTCGAATAATTTCACCCGCCTGCCTCCACAAGGGCACCTACAGCAGCAGACCATGCAGGAGACTGATCCAAATACCTCGTCCCTAATCATGCAATTGAATCGTAATGGTCTTAGGAATAAGGTAATTGATATAAAAACCTTCATGCATGATAACAAACTTCATGCTTGAAAACAACATCCTCATTGCTGCCTTGCAAGAAACGAAGGTGACCAGCAGTTGTTCTTTATCCTCCTCCGGGAATTATAACATCATTCGGCGAGACAGACACCATGGTGGGGGTCTCGCATTCTACATCCAGCGAGATGTCAGATATACCCTGACATCCCCTCCCTCTCCTTTCCAGTCTGATCCTTTCCTGGAGGTTTTAAGCATTTCAGTTCATTCCGACGATTCTGAAATTGTCAATGTATATATTCCGCCCGTCAACAGCAATTATCATCCAAGCATCATCCATCTGCTGCAGGGAGATAATAAAATTGTTCTTGGCGATTTCAAAGCTCATATGAGATATGTATTCTCAACTTCCTAATGATGCTCGCGGTATTATTGCAAACCAGATAGACGAGTCCGATTTCGCTTCCATCAATGAGGAATCCTCTACCAGAGTCACTGACAGATGTTCGAACTCTCCGGACATTTCCATCGTCAGTCCGTCGCTCCTTCCGTATACTTCCTGGCAAACCAAGGTCGCTTTTAATTCAAATCATATTTCCATCCTGATCACGGTATAAAAATTCAGCGATTTCGTGGAACGCGATCAGCGTACTTATATAAATTAAAATAAATCCCACTGGCACGGCTTCACAAAATTCATTGAGGACTCCTTAAGTCCTATGCCGCCACCGGTATGTGCCAGAAAGGGTGAGAAGATTTTCCAAGAAACTATTCTAAAAGCGGCAAAACGCTTCATTCCTGCGGGCCGAATTCCTCTAACGAGACCAAATTATCCATCCAGGGCATCCTGATTGGCACAAATAGATGCTCTAGTCCTTGAGCACAGGCGCTCTAAATGATTAGAACACCTTAACCACTGCAATATAAATTCTAAGCAGCTATGGTCTACAATTAAGAGTCTATCTGGTTCCAAGAGAAATAAAAATCTCCCTGCTATTTCCTTCAATAACATTCATCATTCTGATGCCAAAAATTTGCATTGCAATTCTGCCGCCAATTCATTGAGCATCCATCTTCGCAGAACCGGACCAAGCGAGCAGTTATCCTGAAATCCATGAATCTTAAAAGAGGCAAACCTCTCACTATCATTTACATCCAATGAGGTAGAGGCAATTATCTCTAAATCCAAAGCCCTAGCCCGGATTATTCCAATTCTAAAGCCTGATAAATCCGCTACTAATGGGGAATCCTACCACCCGATTTTGCTTCTGTCAGCAGTAGCCAAGGTTTTGTATCTTGCGAAACTCCCCATTCCCCCAACAGATGTTTTAGTGGTGTCGTATGCCGATGACTGTACGATTATTTCGTACGGCGTTGACATTGAAGACGTACGTGCAAAAATTTCCAACTTTTTAGCCACCATCACCAACTTCTTCCGGTAGCGCAATCTAAAATTATCCACTGCAATGTCTACTGTGTCACTTTTCACTTCCTTCACTTCCGAGAAGACAATTTTGAACTTCATATTTCCATTGAAGGTAGGCACATCCCCACCGTCCATAATCCGAAAATACTTGGGGTGGTCTTCGATAACCTCCTTCATTTCACCTCGCATTCTAACTACATCAACCAGAAGGTGAAAGCTAGGAATTAAGTTCTGAAAGCTTTGGCTGGCATCTACTGGGGCAACGATAAAGAAACGTTGGTAAAGACATATAAGGCCATAGGTCGTTCCATCCTTTACCTTTAGCCCCAGTCTGGATTTCATTCCTTAGCGACACACAATGGAGATCCTTGCAAACAACTGAAAATAATGCACTCCGAATTGCAACCGAATGTGTCCAGATGACGAGCGTCGAACATCTCCACGAGGAGATAGGATGGTGTTAGTCAAGCAACGTAATGTGTTGTTGACTAGACAGTTCCTGCAGGCATGCTACCTGCCATGTCATCCCAACCGTCACACAGTGATGGCAGATCCACCTCCGCTACACATCCATCAGGATGATCCCACGGCTGCGGGTTCTACGATACCGGATACCAGCGCTTCAGAGAACTTTCCATTCCTTGTGATGTACAGGTAGCAGAAAGGAAATTCCGAGGCATCATTACAGCTGCTAGACTTATACCTGTCGAATACCCGAAATGAGACCTAATTTCCCAGCAGAAGCATTTGGACTAGCAAATGAGCATGATGAGTTCCGTCGATCTAACCCAGCAGATCCCAGGGTCAGGAAACATACGTTGGAGGTCAGCAGATAAGTCGCGGAGCACAAGAGGAATAAATGGTTGCATCATTTTTACCGGAGTAAGTAAACTGTGGGCAACGGTTAAGTCGCTCTCAAACCCTAGTAAGAAGGATGATAGGACCTCAGTCACATTTAACGACGAAACTGTGACTGATCCGAAGAGATGCGCAAGTAATTTTAACCGACAGTTTGTCGAGCATCCCGTCGTATAAGATCTCTTCCAGCCGATGAGGTGCCACCACAGTTTACGATGAGTGATGTTGCACGTGTCATCTGTAACGCGAAGTCATCCAAAGCGTTGGGCCCTGACGAAACATCGATGTGTATGCTGAAGCAGCTGGACGAGCCAGGAGTCGAGTACTTGACCAACGTCCTTAACTTGTCGATAGCCACCCACGTCGTCCCCGAAGCCTGGACAATGGGCAGGTTGGTCCCGCTACTGAAGCCGGGCAATGATACCAGGAAAGGTGAATCTTCAGCCCGATTTCACTTTTGTCGCCAGTAGCGAAGACCCTTGAGGCATCACTCCTCCCCAGCATTAGAGATAGCTATCCAGTTGCGGATCATCAACATGGATTCCGTAAGCAACACAGTACAACAACAGCTTTGCACGCCATCTCCACACATATATGTCGAGGACTTAACCAGAACCGGTCGTACGATAGAACAGTGTTGGTAGCGCTTGACCTATCGCTATTTGAGGACATTGAGAGCACTTCCTTCCGGCCGAGTTTGAAACGTTTGATAATCAACTATATGTGTGGACGCCAGTCATACGTGGAGTTCCGGAACAAGAAGTCCAAACCCCGTAGAGTTAAACAGGGAGTTCCCTAGGGTGGAATGACTCCTCCGGAACTGTTTAATCTCTACTTTTCCGGTATTCGACGCCCTCCGGACGGCATAGAAATCGTTACATGTGCAGATGATTGAACGATCGTAGCGTCGGGTCCCATTATTGAGGACATATGTGTGAGGTTGAACGCCTATTTCGCCGAATTAGCAGCCTTCTTTAAAGCAAGGGCCCTCATTCCATACTGCAGTTATTCAATTGCCCAGCCAAATCTACTCATCTTACTCCAGAAGATCTGTGATTACAGCCAGTGGAGGTAGCTGCATATCTAAATTTGGGGACAGAACCAGATGGAATTTAAACAACAACACCCGTCAAGACTTCAGACGCTATCGTGATGGCATCTAAAACGTCATTCCATCGGACGTCAACAGATTGTCGATAGCGAACGCGATGAAATCCCTCCTGCCATCAAAGCCCTCTCACGTCGTCCTACAAATCTATTAGCAATAGACTTATGGCCAAAGTCAATAGAGGTGGCATAGTTTCTCCGACTACCCTCTTCAAATCTGAATTCCTAATTAATATATTTTCCTTGATCTGTTTTCTATCCATATTTTCAGGAAATAACTTTCACCAATAGCCAGCCTGTTACAACAACAACCAATTTTCATAGAACTAACAACATATCCGATTTTTTGTTACAAGCGTTTTAGGCATCCACCTACGACAACTTCTTCTATTTTTTGCCGCTGTTAATATGAACTCGCATAGAGCGTGGTTTCTTGCATCTTCCGATTCCGATGAAGTCCACTAGCTCATCTATTTATTCTCAAAATCCGTATAAATTAAATTACAATCAACTCTACTTGCGACTTAATTTTCTGCTGTGATCTACATTTACCCAGAATTCTATGGAATTGACTCGGATTAAATTAATTGCACTGATACCATGGGTAGTATATGCTATATTTGTTTTATCATCGCTATAAATAATTAGTGTTTAAGTGCACATTTAACATTGATTATATCATAAAGGATATTGTATTTTATAAGTATATATGTATGTATATATATTTGCCAAAAAAAATATCTGCATTACAAAAAGGTATATCTATCCTCTTCATGGACCATTTGTATTTTCTTTTTTTTATAAAAGGCATTCCAGTCATCTGTCATCGATATTATTTATCTATAAAAGTAAAGCCTCCAAAATTAGACGTTATCAGCCGCTTTGAATTTTTTGGATTTCATCTGAATGAAAAAAATATTTTTTAATTTAATAATTTTGTTAATTGTAATTATTTAATTCACACCCACCTCTTCTTCATCCAAAATTTCCGTAACACCATATTCCGTGGTTACAACTTGTACCGCCTGGCCAGGACCCGTTGTTGTTTTCTTCTTGTTCGCTTTGTTGCCACCCAGTAGTTTGTTCAAAACACTGTTGCCCTTGGTATCGCCACAGCAAAAGACATTCGATGTCTTGCGATTATCTAAATGATTTCTGGGTATTATAATTTTAGTAATAGAAAAATCGGTTTCATCCATAAAATCGTCGTTGTTAGTATCATCGTCGTCATCATCATCTTCCTCCACATCCGACGGTGTGGTCTCATTTGATGATATTTGCATATTTTCATGTTGTTGTTGTTGTTGTTGATTAATGTTAAGGAGATTCTGCTTAGAATTTCTAATCATGGATGTTATATACTTACTAATGTATGTATGTGTATATAGGTTTAGAAATGTTAAGGTTAGGGGAAGGAATAAAATAGGAACCCTTTGTTATTAATAGATTTTTGGGTAATATATTTATAATGTGCCAACATTTAAGCCAAATTGGATAATTGCAATCAAAGTGCAAGAAATAAAAAGGCAAAATAAAAAATTAATTACTATGAAACTAAAGGATAAATAAAGGAATTTCTGAAGTCATTGGTTTTGGGAAAGGTATTAAAGTCGAATCCTATGCGGACGACGTGGTGATATTGATCCCCGGAAATTTTCCGTCAATAATCTCGTAGCTTATGCAAAGAGACTTATTGACACTGTCACGCTGGGCCAAGGCTGGTAATGTTCACTAGGATGGCACAATCCTGGACTGTCAATAGCGATGGAATAGGAACGCCGATGAACGGCCAAAGAGAGAGCAGATTACACTCTATGCATGCAAGAACTCCGTCGGGAAAATCTGGGCGCTAATAACTGGAGCCGCGAGAATGCTGAACTTAAGGCCTCGTTGTCTCAGCATTAAGTATCTGGCAGCGCGTAGTAAGGCTGCATGAACAAAATCTATTTCGAACGAAATAGATATGACATTGGACCTACGCGTAAAACTAAGGACTATAACTAAGGACTATCACCAGTCCTGAGATTTGACGATATAGATGTCGTTATCCCTAGTAGAGACGACTGGAACCGTAGCATCTCTGCTCTGGACGGTCTGGCTTTTTATACAGACCAAGGATCCAAGATGGAAGAAGGTACAGGGGCTGGCATCTACTGTGAAAGGCTAGGCCTTGAGTTTATCTGCAAGCTGGAGTGTTTTCCAAGCTGTAATTTTCCCTATTTGGAAGGCAGCGGAATTAATAAAAAGTGTGGATGCAGAGATCGTTGAACTGGTGACTATCTTTGTGGATAGTCTTAAAACCATTAAATCCTGTAATATAAAATCTGAGGTTGTCCTCGAGTGTAGAGCAGTTTTGGAAACACTCACTTACAGCTATCGGCTGTGTTGGGTACCAGGACATCATAAAAGCAGATTAATTAGCTAGACGAGGATCTCAATCTACAGATCTAGCAATCGAAGATCTATCTGGCCGACTCTGTCAACATAGAGAACAAACTCACTGTTGAACCTGAGCAAAGCTGAAATTGGAATAATGGCAGGAGTCATTTCTGGTCATTGCAATATCAGGGCCTTTACTAGTAAATGAGACCATGATGTTACTAATTACTGCAGAATCTGTGCTGACGAACAGGAGACGGAAACAATTGAGCATCTCCTGTGTCGCTGTCCAGTTCTGGCCTACAGACGGCACAGACTAGTAGGTGCTCACTTTCCACCGTCCCTAAGCCTCTTTTCAACTATGGAACCTAAAGTGGGTAGGGAAGTGCAACCTTAACACGTAGTACGTTTTTCTGTCCAATTTCTTTAGCCATCGTTACTATTCCCACCTTCCTCCTAATACTTCTTGTTAGCTTCTTATTCTTTCTTTGGATGAACCCGGAGTGGAATAGTTAATATCAGCTCTCAACTTGTCGTTAGGCACCCGCAAAGTTCCTCAAGCCTGGAAAGTGAATAAGGTGGTAAGTAAGGGCTCCACCGAAGCCGGCAAGGTTTGAATCGGGGTCTTTGTTTGTGACCCCATTAAATCGTCCTTATGAGGGGACTGATCTTCATTATGCGACCTAGTGAGGTTTGCTGATATATAAGTGATACCCAGTGGGAAAGCAATCGGATTTACCCGATCTACAACAAGGTGTCCCTGCATAAAACCAGTAAATCAACTTCATGAGCAGACGAAGATCATACTAAACCGTCAACACAAAAAAATGTCGATATGGCACCTGATTGGCTGTTATGGAATTCCGTTTGGAAAGCCTTTCCCACCCAGACACGTCCAAAGTGAAGATGAGATCGTTTTGAAACGAAAGGTATACATGGTTTGTCGTGGTAGCTGCAGCTTTTTGCTGCTATCGTAGGCGGGTGATCTCCGAGGAATGTATTCACATGATATTCTCGAATTGCTTTCTCAACTACATCCGCGTGAATACGACTAAATTCTGTTTGATAGGCCTGTTGATCAGGTATTGTATCGACATCTTGTTGTGTTGACACACAGGAAGGATCTTCGTCTCCTCATGTAAATGGTCTATTCGAGTCATGAGGATACACCCTGTTGCAGTCCTCAGGCGCTATTCTGTAAGGATTGATGACGTTTCCATTGCGGAGCCGCATTCTTTGCCATAGACCGGCCTATTGCTGTGTATGTTGTTAACAACATTTCTTTGTCAGCTTCCCAAGTGATACCGGCCAGCGACTGGAGAACCTTGCTCCTGATCTTATCTCAAATAGCTGTAACATGCGCGGACGACTTATAAAATCTATCGAATGTAACACCTAAAACTTTGGGGTAATTGGTGGTCGGATTGTGGACCAAAAGACCTGCACATTCAAAGGTAGCCGCATCTCCACAGTCCATGTAGTAAATAGTGTGGCCGTTGATTTCATGACGGATAGTTTCATATTCCACGCCCGTCAGCCTCTCTCAAATGTCATCAATTTTGAGTCCTGACGCCATGATCGTACAATCATCCGTGTACGTTACGATTTTTATGCCATCCGGTGGGTGTGGAATTTCAGAAAGGTAGAGGTTAAACAGTTCTGGAGATATTACCACTCCTAGGGGACTATGTTTGTAACAGGCAAAAGGAATCGAGGTAGACCCATGGTTCCTTTTGAGAATATGCATAGAATCACTTTCTGAGTCGATTTACGCATGTCCGTCCGTCCCTCCATGTATTTTTGTGAACAACCTACAGGTCGCATTTATGATCCGATTTGAATGAAATTTGGCAAATGTCACTTATTTGGCCCTCGGACGAACCCTATTGAAATTGGAGAAGATCGGTTCAGATTTATATATAGCTCGCATATATAGTTTCGTCCGATTTTATGTAAATGGTGCAACATACTATCAATGTTTGTCCGATTGAGACAAAATTTTGCACAGAGTCCTGAATTAGGTATAGATTGATGCATGTCAAGTTTTGTATTGGATATTGGTTGGAGAAAAATTTTGGATAGCGACGCTCCGAACCATAGTATGCTAAGTCGACTTAGCATGTTTTAAAGTTCTTTACGTTTTTAGATACTACGGTCCTTAATTTAAATTCTCTGAAATTTTGGCCAATCCAAACCAAAGTTAAGGGTTAAGCAGAATGCTCGCGTTGAGCCATCCGTCGCGTTATATGTTATCGAAAATACAACAACCACAAGGAAACGATAACATAAAAGCATATCGTTTCCTTGTGGTTGTTGTATTTTCGATAACATATAACGCAAAATGTACTTAGCACGCCACGTAAGATATAAGAAACTTCCATACTTTGAGAGCTTCTACTGAAAAACTTAAGGGCTAAGCAGAATGCTCGCGTTGAGCCATCCGTTGCGTTATGTGTTATCGAAAATACAACAACCACAAGGAAACGATAACACAAACGCTCGAAGTTGTTGTGCGCTGCGCTTCGGAGTTAAATATATTTTAACTTTTTCTGTGCGTTAACGCGATAACAAAAAACGCGATAACAAAAAACGCTCAACGCGAACATTCTGTTTAGCCCTTTACTTTTCATACTTAGCATACTATTCTTCTGAGGCGTCGATGTTTTGCTCGATGATTGACAATAAATTTTTCATAAATTTGAGATTGGTACCCAAAGTGGTGAAGGGTATCATATAGTCGGCCCCGTCAGACTTTTGAACTAACTGGTTTCATTATAAAACTTTTTTAGAATTAATTGACGTAGAAACTAATTCCCTAACATAATTCTTTATGAACAACATGAAAAAAGTTTATGTCACTGAACACTTAAATACACCACAATTTTCTGTGCATACTTTTAGGCGAAATAATAATAAAGAAAACGTTATGACATTAACAAAAAAAAAAAAAACATTCAAACGTACACTGAAAATATTAAAATCAAAAGAAGAAACTCAACAAATTTTAATTTCGAGAAATTCTATAACAAAAAAACAATTATTTTTTTATTAAAAATTTAAAATAAAAAAACACTACAAAATAATATCCCAGTATAATTTTGTTCACTGCCATAATAGAAATGTAAACATGAAGAAAACCAAACAAAAAATGCATTTCATCATCGTTATCACTCACACTCCATAAACAATTTCCAGCTGAAAATAGATTCCTCTGTCGTAGTGCTGTTGGTGCTTACGTGGCCAAGTAATAAAACTTTACTTGGCGTGGTTGTTGTCAAGTAATTGTTGGAAGATGCTCGTATTAGACAACTACTACTGTGTGATGGTGCTGACAATATCTCACTTGTGTTCGGATTGTGATTATCTTGCATAGTGTGACAATGATTACTTGTTGAAGGTCAGCTAGAATTGCTTTATGGTTTGATAAAAAATCATTTTTTTTATTTTAGATTGGAGCAAAAATAAAAGGAAATAAAAAATAGAGAAAAAGAATAAGCTCAAAAAGAATATTCATTTTGCACAACGGAACAGAGAAACAACAAAGATATTACAAACAAATTAAAAGCAATGTAAACATTGAAGAATTATGACTGCAACGTTGGCGACGAAATGAAAATAGAAAACACAACAATATGTTCAGTGTACGTTTGAGTATCAATGTTAAAAAAAAGAAAATGACAATAAATGGCATATGGTGCAATAATGTGAGAATGCATTTCGAACAACTAATTATATGTATGTATGATATGGTTAATAGAAATGCAGGGAATTTTGTGGTTACTACTTACGTTTTCGATTGAAATAATCCAAATTGTTTTATATATTCTATGACTAAGTCGTCAATTAAATATTTCACTGATTGACCACGGCCCAGAAGACGTCTTATCATGGTTGAACTTACTTCATTCGATACCCAATTGGTGACCAATGTTATGTTGCGCTAAATGGAAATTCACATTTTAATTAAATTTCTATTTTTTGCAATGCAATTTTATATAACTTACTTGATATTTGGTAAGGACATCCGATTCAAAGATGAATTTTTCGGCATTGGAACCACTACGTGATATCACCACCAGACCGTGATTGCTAACAATATCTTCAATCTACACAAATATTAAAGTGGAACACATATCAAGGTGAAGGAGGTGAATGATTAACATATGCAATATTAGAATTAAAGAAAAGCTATAGGAAGTCCAATTAGCATTTACCATATTGCTTCCATTTAATTAAAGCCTATCATTTACTTACATCCTCTTCCGCCCACAAACCAGGAACTGCAAACGACTCCAATAAATCGGCACCACACAACAACCGCAATTGAACTGGATCCCGACGTTCCCTTAAACTAGGAGGCAACCAACTTGGTATATGATTATCATCACCATTCATATTATCCAAATCGGGTGAATTTATATAGTTATTCATGAAATTCTGATGATACTGTAGAACAGCCTGTGTTCGTGACCAACCATCCTGTTGGGTTTCCCACTCCGACAAACGTATCCATGATGATGATTGCAATGCCAATTTGACCATAGCACAACGATGTTTAGCCTGTGCCAAACCTTTCTTACCATATGCATCATGTGTTGGCGATACAATACCACCAATTACCTTATGCGAGCCATGCATTTCGAAATGATCCTTGGCAATTTCTACATATAAATCAAAATTGTGTTCAATTAGTAAACAAACCAAACCATGAAATACCTATGTGTTATGCGAACATACCGAACATTCGCAAATGCATTGGAGTTGGTGGACTAAACGAACCACAAGCAATTAAAACTATTCGTGGCAATAAACGATTTGATGTTTCCTCCAATAATATCGACATATTTGCAAATTTCTTTTTCAACACAATTAAATTAAAACTATTATTTTATTTATTTTCTATGGAACCAAACAAATCGCCCACACAACCTGATGAAATTCTCTCTATAGAATGAGAAAAAACGACGTTTATTTATTTTTTAAATTCCAGCTGATGTTAAGTGCTGCCAACTTCGCGGTGACAAAAACGCAAAATTTTATAAAAACCAGCTGATACTACTTGTCATATTAATATTTTTAAAAGAAAACCAGATTCATAATTAGTCTGTTCCCATGATGCAAGTATATATATAGTTATATATATATATATACTAAAGGAATGTTTGTTATCGACACATTCCTATAAAATATAGCATGCTGCCAAACAGCTGTTTCA